AGACTCTTCTCTTTGAATCTTGATCTTCGACAAGTATTGCTGTTGATTATATTCCATATTTTTTTTGAAGAACATCGCAGACTATATATTTATTTCCACTGTCAGTTGAAAAGTTTATCATCATAGTTTCAGTCGCAAAAGCTTCTATCGCCCCTTTGCACGGCCATGTTTAATAAAATCAAAGCGGCCCGCACCCCTGGTTTGAAAAGTTAAATATTCTGAAATATTCAAAATTTTAAGCATCACGTGACCAGCCTTTACCAGGGCCTTTGCTGCCCTTCGCCTCCTTCCTCAAAAGGCCCTGGGGACGAGGTTGTGTGGTAATTACTTTAGAGTTTTCCCACACAATCTCGTGTTTGGTGTAACATACATGTTCGGCTAAAGCTGATTTTCCCTGATAAACCCAACACACACAGACAAATACTTGATTACTTGTCATACGACTCTCATCACCCAGTAAGCCATAAAAGATCCATAGCAAAAACTTTGCGTCAAAGAGCCGAATCCTTGCCGTCAAACAGTGATTCTCAAGCCGGTCAGTATAATCTGCAGACAGCGGACTGCAGACTGCAGACCGGACTGGGTACAAAATGCAGACTGGGGGTATAAAATGCAGACTGGGGATAAAATGCAGACTGGGGGTGAATTAGGGATATTTTACAAATTCCCACCAAGCCATAGTCACGTGATCGTTCTTGTTGATAATATTAATGTTGAAGCTAGTCACTTTCATCAAAATGGACGAAGACAGCGATGTAGAGGTATTGATATTATATGAATATTTATATTATTCTCATTCAACCATAAAACTTGATAACTTTAACACATTTCTTTGCTTTTAATATTTGAACGTTTGGTTACGTTGCATTAGATCGGAACAATGAAATCTGGACGTTTTGAGTGTGAAATTTTAATGGTATATATTGTGTTGACTGTCGACAAGCACTCTACTCATATATGTTTCAAAACTCGGCAAACGCAAGCTTGCTATTGGTTTATATATGTATATGAACTTGAATTACAGGAGCGAAACGCTTGAAAATATGAAAAATTGCTAATACAAAACCATGTGCTTGACAGTCGACACAATATATACCATTACAATTTCGTCCCGATTTTATTGTTCCAATCTAATGCAACGTAACCAAACGTTCAAATATTAAACGTAAAGAAATGTGTTAAAGTTATATCAAGTTTTACGGTTGAATGAGAATAAAATAAATATTCATATAATATCAATACCTCTACACAATTACCAATATATAAAACATGCTTCTCTAATATATATAATGACATATACTTTAGTCTATTGTAGCCCAGCATTGACGTTGTAAAATTAGATGCATCTACAACATTACTATTAATTTATATAATACGAACATTCCCACTTCTTTTTCTCTCTTGTAAATATAGTGTATATACTTCAAAACTTTCTGATTTTAAATGTTATGTATTGATTGACTGTAAATAATCGATTATGTGATAAAACGAACAGTAACTAGAGACCTAAAATAAAAAGTCTGAAGATTTCTAGTAGGTCTCTAGCCCAACATCTTCAAATTATTGTCAGTAATATATTTTAAGTAAATTTTTATACATGGGAAAATTAATAAAAAAAATTTCGACTATGGCTTGGCGGAAATTTGTAAAATATCCCTAATTCACCCCCAGTCTGCATTTTATCCTCAGTCTGCATTTTATACCCCCAGTCTGCATTTTGTACCCAGTCCGGTCTGCAGTCTGCAGATTATACTGACCGATTCTCAAGCTAATGAACGTTATTATGTACTTCTAAATATTTTTGGGGAAAACAATTACCCAAAACGTTTTCTTAATGATTGCCTGAGATCATCTGTTTGTAGGAACCAAAATAACTCCGAGGGTGATACCTCAGGGTTTTGCAATAGTTCCATACATTCAAGGTGTCACAGAACCAATCAAGAGAATCTTAAGTAATTGTAATATTAAGGTTGCCTTAAAACCCTATTTGACTTTAGGCCATATTTTCGCAAAGCCAAAAGATCCTGTTAAAACAAATCAGAAAACTCATGCTGTATATTCTATACCATGCGGTGACTGCAAGAAAGAGTATTTGGGTCAGTCTAAACGCCAGTTTGGTACACAGCTAAAAGAACATCAAAAGGCTGTTTCAACTTTAAACAAGGGAAAATCAGCTTTAGGCGTAAAAAATTACCTGTGGTTCCGGTTCCCGACTGACCCTATTTTTTTCCGCTGACCCTATATTATTTTTTCAATGCAATTGACCGTGCGACCCTATTTTCTACAGGTGGTTGCAGGCTGCTCATACAGCGTGCCAAAATGGCATCTGTTGTCACACAAATTATTGAACCAAATTGCCTAAATTCGTCCATGTAGGAAATATGCATCTCTAGTTAATATTGATGTCGGGACTTTACTGCAAATCGCCCAGCAAAAAAACGCCAAAACCATGAAAAAAATATTCAAAAAAAATTTATTTCCGACCTACCAACCCTAATTTTTTCACGATATGAAACCGGAACCACAGGGTTTTTTTTTACGCCTTAGCCGAACATGTATGTTACACCAAACACAAGATTGCGTGGGAAAACTCTAAAGTAATTACCACAATTGCTATGGTCAAAGACTTTGCCTAGAAGCGTGGCATATAAATATGAGTAATCATGCTTTGAATAGGGATGACGGTGCCTATTTGCCAGAGGAATATATGCATCTCACTGGCAGGTGACGTCATCCCTTGGGTATTTAAGAAGCCACGATTGCAATTTTAGATCACCCCTGATGAAGACACTAGACTGGAGTGTCGAAACGTTGGGTCTTGATTACAATTCGACTGGGCTTTGTAATCATTTATTTAAACCAGAGTAGCGAGCGAAACATGATTGGGCTACTACATTAAAAAACCAAACCCCCCTGTCGAGGACCTCTGCTTTTGGGGATTTTTACCCCTCTGGAATGCAAAAAAATCTGTGTAATTGACCCCTGTGGAAGAGACTTGAACCCCCTCTGGAAGTGCATTTTTGCTTTTTAACACCTCTGGAACGAGCATTTTTCTTCCATTTTTCCCAATTACCCCTCTGGAAAAAATGACTAATTCCCCCCTTGGAAAATGAGGTCCTCGAACGGGTATTAAATGTAATAGCCCATTTCGATACATACTATGTCCTTGCAATAAAACATTGTGAATTTGTCTATTGTAAACGAGTTCCACTCAAACATACGCATTAAACGGGCACTATTTCCTTCAAGATTGTTCACTAAATAGTTCGTGGCCCTGACGAACACTTCCACAAGCAAATATCAGAGACCTACTATCATGGTACTTTAATCACCGCAAGTATTTGATGGCGTGTGTTTTTCCGTTCTTTTACTGGAGTGTTTTGATGGCGTATGTATTCAGTGATTACTCTGGTACGGTAAAGTGTAAAATTTCCCATAATTTATACTTAACAAACGACTAAACTTACCTTAAAAATGAAACTTGAATGATGGTTCGTGTCGATGGATTTTTGAAATCTGAATAAATGGCGTTTAGAAATAAAGGGCGACAAAAAACGGGCGACGGAAAAAATTTTCTCGCCCTTTTTTTCTAACCCGCCATTTATTCAAAAATCCTCAAAACCTTCAATAGAACTCCACTGCCTCGTCCCCAGGCGCAATTTCACGCGAGTTACTGCCTCCTCCGCAGGCCCTCGTTGTGTCATGGGAAGGTCACGATCTGGCGAGGGCCTGCGGAATCTTGTAAAAAAAATGGCGACGGCGTCACGTCAGCAAGTAAATTTCTACATGATCTTGAATATAAACAGATATAAAAAAGCGGCGTGAAACTTGTAAATTAAACTGGCGACTCTTAGGACGTGGAAGGAAGCATTTTTTAACGACAAGGTTTGTTGTCCACACCAACGTTGCACGAATAAAACTGCCTTCTTTAACGAAGCAGGTTCAAAACAACATTTATTCATTTTACAAGATTCCGCAGGCCCTCTCGAAATCGTGACCTTCCCATGACACAACGAGGGCCTGCGGAGGAGGCAGCGCGAGTTACTATATGAAGGTTTACATGAAGTAGTGCGTCACATTATAAGCGCGCAAGGAGGGGTGGGATATTAAAGCCCATAACTCCCTGCGCTTGTTCGTCGCGATGCACTACTTCATGTAAACCTTTCATATAGTGACTCGCATGAAATCTTTTTATTAGCGCCTGGGGACGAGGCAGAGAACTCCAATTTTCAATTGTAATGACTTTATTAGCATGATCTATAATTACAAGATATTGCTAAAGTACTGTAGTTCCATCAATATAACTATTAACGTTCATAACTAAAGCCTGGTTCACATATGCCTGCGGTATGCCTGCGACTGTATCATTATGCCTCTATACTTGCCGCCGAAATAGCGGCAAAGTTGAACTCGAGTCAACTTTCCCGGCCTACCGCCGATCTAACTGTGGCACTGGAGGCAATCGGCGAACAAATATTCACATAATTTACGTTTTAAGCTACCACCGGCATCGTCGCCGGTACGTCGCAGGCATGTCGCAGGCATATATGTGAACCAGGCTTAACTAATAATAACATATTTTTTAACTTTATATTATTTACATATTGGTGATCACTATGAGAATGTTACTATTTCAGGGTTTTAATTTAATATGTAGTGTCTATATCGGTTAAGGATTTTTTTTTATACAGTTTGTTTTAGGTATTATTTGTATTTCTGGCTTCAAAGTACTGATTCCGTTTTTCAAAACTAACTGTAATATATTTTGAAAAAACATTCAGTACTTTCGGATCATTAGATTTTATTATATTCACGAGGTTATCTTTTTTTTGGTAGTCGAGTGTTTCGTTGCATTGTCTTTGTAATATATTGTTTGTGGTGTTTCTGTCTTCTCTGTAGTAGTTACAAGATAGTGCAAAGTGATATTCATCTTCACTGAATTTCGTTTGTATCACAGAGATTACATTAGCGTTGTTCACGGGGGATGTTGTGATATCGACCGTATTCAATCTGTAACTTATGACAACTTATTCGAAATTTAGTTACTGCTTTCCTTTGAGATGCGTTTCTTATAGTTGTAAGGTAGTCCTCTAACTTATATTCAGATTTAAATGTGCTGTAGAAAGAGAGTTTGGAGGAATTGTCTAACTTATGTTTCCAAAAGGTGACATATTTATTTTTAGCATTGCTTATAAATTGACTTTGTTGATGAATAGTAATAGATTCTAATTCATTTAGTTCATCATTTACGTTAGTGTATGATTTAAGTATCTTCATGACATTGGAGTAAAAACTGGGTTTATTCAGTTCATAAAGTTCTTTGGAGATTAGGAATGCTTGTTTCACAATAGTGAAGTCAGGAAGGGTATTAATGTGTGCAAGGTATTTGATTATTCTTTTGTGTATGGCTATTAATAGAGGAAATTTTCCTAATTCACCTCTACACGCTACATTTGTTGCTTGCTACTTTACTCCATGTGTTTTATCCATTTGGTACCCTGGGTTCCAGAGGTTCTTCCAAGTTCCTAGGGGGGATAATGAGGGATACACGAGGATTCAAGCTGGGCGGCGAATCCTCGTGTATCCCTCATTGTCCCCCCTACGAGCGTGGAAGAACCTCTGGCACCCAGAGTATCCATTTGGTAAAGTAAAAGAAATTGAGTTCACTGGGTCAGTGAGTGATCGAGGTTCAATCTCGTGGTTCAATGTCACATAGGTAGCCAAGACACACTGTTCGATTTCAAAATAACTGATGTTATTAAAGAATGAGTATCACGGTAATGCTTTGCGCGCTTGGTCGCAGCTTGTTCGGCCATTTTAGGGTGCCCGGAAAATGGCGACTTTCGTATATGAGGAGTTGTGTGACTATTCAAATTGGCCAAACACGCCGCGGAAGCTGATTAACTAATGAATTTGAGTAATTAACGTTGTTTTATGAATAAATAATGATGTACAATGCATAAAACCCTAGTTTACAGGTTGTAACTGCTCTTTCTGTGCTGATCGCCAAGACAGCGAAGTGCAAGATAAAGAAATTTACGGACTTTACAGTATGGCTCCACGCCTGTTCGACCTCCTTGCACGTTACAAGAAGCGGAACTTGCGACTTAATACTGTTGCCCAACCGATTGATCTTGATTCCGCTCCACCTCAGAATGAACCAGTTTCGCCGGTGAATGATCCAATTGAAAATGAACAGCTTCAGGCATCAAACTTGCACTTGGACGTGATTCTTTTATTCATATTGGTATTTGTCTGTATTGTAGCGAGTTTTTTTGCGGGTCTAGTTAAGATTTTTGCCCTTTGGGTAGTTATATCGCTTTGTTAGCAGTATATATGATCGGTGTGGCGAAGTTATTTTTCGTTGTATAACGCATGCATGCATGCATGGTTCACTCGTGGGCGGCTAATCGGAAAATACGGCCGCCTCTTTTCTGTGTGTGTTTAAGGATCGCTTACACTTGTGGTTTTAGTTACAGTTCTGTTGTATGTTATACATTATATCTTCATTTGATGAGTATATCCGTCCTTGTGCGGGGTTATCAGTTACCGTCAAGTTCGCTTTCGGTTATTTTAGTTCAGTTGAAATTGCGACGCATGAATGATTCCCGTCTGGTTTTAGCATTGTTAATTTTGTTAATGTTCTACGCGAGCGGGTCGTCTATTTCGCAAGATTAAATTGCTGAAAAGCAAAATAGCTAGGCTATAGTGATTACCTTTCGCCTTTAACAAAATGGTTATTGGGTATTGTGTTTTCGTATGGTATGGGACGGGAGCGAATTGCACTGCATGATTGCTTCATTCCGAGCTTCCGTAGTTTATTGCATTTGCTTCGGCGAAAGAGGACCACTGTGTTTGCTGTATGACCGAAGGGCATCTCGCAATACATAATTGCTTGCTTGCGACCGAGCACAAATCCTACTATGGATTTAGCAGTTGCCAATGGGTTTGGCGTATGAGATAAGTTTCTCTCGCAATTGCACGATTGCTTGCGACCGACCCCGAGTCACTACTTAATTTGAATTTTAACCAACGTTGCCAATGTGTTTGGCGTGTAAGAGAAGTGCATCTCGCAAGTGCATAATTTCTTGAGACCTAGCACGGGTATATCGCAACTGAATTTGGATTTTAAACAAGGTTGTTTAAAACGGCGTATGAGAGGGGTATGGCGTATGAGAGTGGTGCATCTCGCAATGCATGGTTGCCTGGAACCGCGCACGGGTAGCTACTGAATTTGGATTTTAAACAAACTTGCCAATGGGTTGGCGTATGCGAGAAGTGCATCTCGCAATGCCAGATTGCTTGAGACCGCGCACGGGCACATACTGACTTGGATTTTAAACAAAGTTGTCAATGTGTTTGCCGTACGAGAGACGTGCATTTCGCAATGCTAGATTTCTTGAGACCTATAGCACGAGTAGCTACTGAATTTGGATTTTAAACAAAGTTGCCAACGGGTTTGGCATATGAGAGACGTGCATCTCGCAATGCTAGATTGCTTGAGACGGAGCACGAGTAGCTACTGAATTTGGATTTTAAACAAAGTTGCCAATGGGTTTGGCGTATGAGAGAAGTGCATCTCGCAATGCCAGATTGCTTGAGACCGAGCACGAGTAGCTACTAAATTTGGATTTTAAACAAAGTTGCCAATGTATTTGGCGTATGAGAGAAGTGCATCTCGCAATGCTAGATTGCTTGAGACCGAGCACGAGTAGCTACTGAATTTGGATCCGGATTTAGAACAAAGTTGCCAATGTGTTTGGCGTATGAGAGAATTAGTGCATCTCGCAATGACAGATTGCTTGAGACCGAGCACGAGGAGCTACTGAATTTGGATTTAGAACAAAGTTGCCAATGTGTTTGGCGTATGAGAGAAGTGCATCTCGCAATGCTAGATTGCTTGAGACCGAGCACGAGTAGCTACTGAATTTGGATCCGGATTTAGAACAAAGTTGCCAATGTGTTTGGCGTATGAGAGAAGTGCATCTCGCAATGCCAGATTGCTTGAGACCGAGCACGAGGAGCTACTGAATTTGGATTTTAAACAAAGTTACCAATGTGTTTGGCGTATGAGAGAAGTGCATCTCGCAATGCTAGATTGCTTGAGACGGAGCACGAGTAGCTACTGAATTTGGATTTTAAACAAAGTTGCCAATTGGTTTGGCGTATGAGAGAAGTGCATCTCGCAATGCCAGATTGCTTGAGACCGAGCACGGGTAGGTACTGAATTTGGATTTTAAACAAAGTTGCCAATGGGTTTGGCGTATGAGAGAAGGGCATCTCGCAATGCATGATTGCTTGAGACCGAGCACGAGTAGCTACTGAATTTGGATTTTAAACAAAGTTGCCAATGTGTTTGGCGTATGAGAGAGGTGCATTTCGCAATGCATGATTACTTGCAACCGAGCACGATTCGTTACTGAATTTGGTTTTAAGGTACCGTGACCAATGTGTTTGTCGTATCAGCAATGTGCATCTTCCAATGCAGGTGTGCTTGAAACCCAGCATGATTAGCTCAGTGCATTTGGATTTAAGGCAATGTGGCCAATGACAATGTGTTTGGCGTATACGAAAAGTGCATTTCGCAGTTGTATGATTGCTTGTTACCGAGCACGAGTAGCTTCTGAATTTGGCTTTAGGGCAAAGTGGCCAATGAGTTTGGCGTATGGACGAAGGGCATCTCGCAATTGTATGATTGCTTGTGACCGAGCACGAGTAGCTATTGACTTGGGATTGAAAGGAAAGGCTCGTGTGTTTCGCGTATGCGAGAATTGCATCTCACAATCCAATATTGCTTGAGTGACTGAGCACGATTAGCTACTGCATTTGGATTTAAGTCATAGTGGTCAATGTGTTTGGTGTATAAGAGCATTGCATCTCGCAATTGTATGATTGCTGGAGACCGAGCACGAGTAGCTATCGAATTTGGATTTAAGGCAAATTAAGTGCCCAATGTGTTTGCCGTATAAGAGAAGGGCATCTCGCAATTTTATGATTGCTTGTGACCGAGTAAGAGTCGCTACTGACTTAGGATTGGAAAAAACAGGTTCAGGGTTTCGCGAATGAGAGGCTTGCATTTTACAATACATGATTGCTTGGGACCAACCATGGCAGCCATTGAATTTGAATTTGGAAATCATTTGTCAATGAGTTTAGTGCATGCGCGGGAGCGGCGTCTCGCAGTTACGGAATTTGTTTAGTTGTCAGTTGCTCATATGTTTGGGCAAGCAGAGAAATGCATCTCCCAATAGACCCAATCCATGATTGCTTGGGGTTGAGCACGAACATTGCAAATGCAAGAGGTGCATCTCGCAATACATGATTGCTTGAGACCGAGCGCACGCGCTTACTGCATTTGGATTGGACAGACAAGGGCCAATGTTTTGGCGATTCAGAACAGTATACCTTCCTTGCCATACGTGAATCACCCAATTCTTGGGCAATATATGTTTTTCGAGTGTGTATGAAAGTACTGATCTTGTGTTTGCGCTCGTTAGCTGGTTTTCGTTCGCATTTCTTGGGTTCTTTCTTCTTTTCTTGGCTAGTTGGGATCAACTTTCCCAGGGCTATCTAAAGCTCTTTGTGTTCGACTCTAGCAGTTGTGCCAGGACTGTTTCCCTTTTCTGGTCCTTCCGGGGGGGGTTCTTTGGGGATTTACTTATCTGTTCATCTTTTCTCTCGCCACTCGCTAAACTTTGTTCCGTTAGCAGCTTCTGAGCGTCTTCAGAAGCAAGTCATTGGGTGGAAGTTTCTCCCGGGGACCAGACCTGTGGCATCAGTTCTGGGTTATTCTCTGCGTTCATTGTCGCTTGACCATGCTAGTCCACCTATCGCTTTTCACCTGCATTTTTTTTCATACTGTCCATTGCCGGTTTGTTTGCTTAATAGATTATAGTTTGGTTTTTCTGTGTGGCACATTCGAATCGGCGGGGTTGTAGGGTATTGGAGCAGGGGGGGTTTGGTATATGAGAATGGCGGCTTGGGTATATGAGAATGGGTGTTTGGGTATATGAGAATGGGGGTTTGGGTATATGGGGGGAGATGTAGTGTTGGGAGCGAGTAGTAACTGAACTGCGGAGGAATTCATTTCCGTGCTTCATTTGGAAACAATGGACCTTCCTTTTCCCCAATGCTTAATCAGTGATCCGTGGCGGGATGGCCATTTGGATATTTTACTATTCAAATTGGCCAAACACGCCGCGGAAGCTGATTAACTAATGGAATTTGAGTAATTAACGTTGTTTTATGAATAAATAATGATGTACAATGCATAAAACCCTAGTTTACAGGTTGTAACTGCTCTTTCTGTGCTGATCGCCAAGACAGAGAAAGTGTAAGACAAAGAAATTAGGACCGGAGAGGGGGGGGGGCGAGAAGGAGGGGGCTGCGTCAGGGTGTTGTTTACTCTTGTGTGTTGTAAAAACGCCCACCCTCCCACCCTTCTGTTTCCTATCCTTGTGGCTTTCTGCTGCGGATCCATTTCCGTGTTTCATTTGGAAACAATGGACCTTCCCGTTCCCCAATGCTTAATCAGTTATCCGTGGCGGGATGGCCATTTGGATATTTTACTATTAAGTTCGCGAATATCCGAACCATTTTCATCATAAATTATTCATTTACTCCTGAAATTCTGGGCTGTGAATATGTAGCTTGACCTGCTGTTAAGCATTTCGTAATATTTATTTGCAATAAACGACAATTTGAAGTCTACAGTGCAGTGATGGTGTTTATGTATAAAGAATAATACCGATCATGTCGAGATAGGATTTGTGCGTATAAAATTAAAGAAGGACGTACATGAGATGTGGATTACCAGAGAAGAATCTATTGTATTCTCAACGAAGACACAAGTGATTTTGCACGGTACTTGCTTCTGATTTATGGCGAAGACGAGCCTTTGCAATTATCAATGGAATCTCCAGGCGATGGTAAATACTACATATTTGTTAGTATTATAAAATGCAACTAATTTCTTTATATTTTAAAACGATTCGTTATCTACGTCCCATATGATCATATCTTTTCTATATAACACTTTAGATCGACCCTTGCCATATGTTGTGTCTGCAACACCTGTTGATAATGCACCAGTCAATGTAAATCCCCGCCCAACTCCCCCCAACCGGGGAGGGGGCGGGGATTTAGCGGGAAAAGTGGTCAGTTTTGATGGTAAATATGTCCCCGATGATGGGGGACTTGGACAACATTTTCTCTTTCGGTAGACGATGCGGGGAAGATTTGGATTCAGTGGTTAACATATATACCCTGTGTTGCTGTTTTAGTTTTCTTTACAAGAAAAGTTTAAATACAATAACATAAATGAATTTGATTTTCTATTGCTGATCTATGAAATATATACAAAACTATTTTCCCGGGGTTGAGAGACATACGGGGACATTGATTAATACGCTTTCC